CCATACTGTTTGCCATAATGGCTATACTACTTTACATTCACCAACAGCGTGAAAGGCTTTCCTTTTCTCCACATCCTTGCCAACACTTGTTATCTTTCGTCTTTTTGATAATAGCCATTCTAACAGGCACGAAGTGATTGCACTTCATATTTTTATCGAAATTGTGTTTCTGACAAAAATTGGACAAGTTGAGGTTACCAACTTAATAAGGGCTAAAGCTTTTTGTTACAAATATTTGTAGAGGAGACCTTTAATATTTTCTTTTGCCCTGATATGTAATCTTATGGAGGCCACAGACTACATTTAGGGGAGAGACTAAGGAGATATTAACCAGCTGTCTAGATGTCTCCAAAGCTGATCTGAATAAATAAAATATTCTATTTATAATTAGCCTTTTTCCTTTTAAGCCTCAGGTAGTTGCTTTTGTGAGATCCTGAGTCCCTTGAGAGCTCCTGATGGGGGCAGGGCACCTAAAATTCAAGTGACTGTAGGGAGCTGAGGGGCTCTAGTGGGAAAGGAGAAGTCTGGCAGGGGTGGGCAGAGGGATGGATGAGGTAGGGGTTTGAGGGGCACATATCAAAGAACTCAAGGAAGCTGAAGAGAAGACTGAAGGTGGTAAGAGGAGAAAGGAAAAATGGAGGTGATGGGAAGGGAGAGGTCTTAGAGGAACCAGCCTGGGGAAATCTTAAGTTTCCCCCAAAGGCCACTGAAGTTCCAACTTATCCTCAGCAAAATCATGCCAACGAAGATTAGATTACCATATGCAGATGGTTTCATCTCTGGATTCTCAGTCCTGTTACAGAGGTCAATGTCTCTATTTTTGTGCCAGTACCAAGCTGTTTTAATCACTACAGCCTGGTAGTACAGCTTAAAGTCAGGTAAACGGATACCTCCCCGTTTGTTCTTTTTACTTAGGATTGCTTTGGCTATACGAGGTCTTTTTTGGTTCCATACAAAGCGTAGAATTATTTTTTCCAGATCTGTGAAGAATGATAATGGGATTTTGATAGGGATTGCATTAATTCTGTAGATCACTTTAGGTAGTATGGACATTTTAACAATATTGATTCTACCAATCCATGAGCAAGGTAGGTTTTTCCATCTGTTTACATCTTCTACAATTTCTTTTTTTTAGTGTTTCGTAGTTCTCCCTGTATAA